CAACCCAACGTACCTTGTCTTGTCTCGACCCTGGGCCAGGCCTCCCGTCCGCTCGTCCCGGACCAGCCCACGATCAACCCTCCCCACGTACGGGTTTGGCTTGAAAGACTCACAGACACCCTCCCCTCCCTCTCCCACCTTTCTTTCGCCGCACCGCACACCCGGGGAAGCATAACGATTCAAAGTCGTTGTCTCTAGCGCCCATCTCTGCCCTGGTTGGTCATCGACAACGCCTGGAACCACCCAAGCGACTCAAGTAAACCCGGGATTCCACTTTCTGCCAATTTCTAAGCCAAAAACTTTACCTTTGGCACTGCGGCAGATCACAGCACGCGCCCGCCTTGTGTGAACCTCGCCAAAGAGGGGTGGGCTTCCTTCATCCCACTTTAGGGTCGCGTCTAGATCCGTTTGCATTTATTACCCCTCGGGTCTCAGCTCGTCGCCACATCTTTATTTTCTCATCTCTCTACTACTACGGATACACTAGAACGGATACCCCTTGCAACTTTCTCACCGACGGACTCCGCCCACTAGGGAATCATCCATAAGGGCCTCGCGCCCACGCGTGTTAAAGACTTGGTTGGGTCTTGTTGCCCCCCGTTCATGGACGACGCCGTCCTGTTTCACACTCTTCCCGTGGCAACCACTGCATAACCACGAGGCTCTTCAGCCTCAGCCTTACCAATGAGTACCAACTCCAGTCAACACAAGAGCCAGAGGGTTCTAGCCTGTGTTCTCTGCCAACATCGCAAGATCAAATGCGACCGCAACACCCCCTGCTCTAACTGTATAAAGGTGCGCTGCCTTCCTTTGTCCAGATACAGAATCCCGAATACGTTCTGACTCGTATTAGGCCAACGTCACATGTACACCTTCAACACCAGCTCCCGCACGCAAGCGCAGGAGGCCGAACCAGGACTTACAAGAAAGACTCGCTAGATGCGAGGCTCTACTCAAACAGTATGCCACGACAGGTAGCGATACGACGCCTCCGGGGACGGGGGCGACTCTTTCGCCCACCACATTTGCTACGCCTTCTTCGGCTGGGCCATCGCCGAGTATGCCACAGCTGCCACTGCCCTCGGGGTCCGCTTCAGTATCCGAGGACACTTCTCCACCCACGACATCCTGGAAGCCGGCGGGCAAAGTCGTAGTTGAAGACGGCAGCGTCCGCTTCATGGACAGTTATGTGTGGGCAACAGTGCATGACCAGGTGCGTAACCGCGAAGCTCGTAGTCCGATGCGCCTCCCTTTTACGCATCGCGCGCTCCCTGCCTGTGCCGGCTAGGTCTGACCTCTTCGTAGTTGACCGCAATGCGACAAATCATCGAAGCCGAGGAAGAGGAACAGAGTGTTCTAGGATCCGACGCCGTAACCCCCGACGACAACGTAGATCTACTTCTAAACGACATCGCCGCGATCGACTTGGAGGACGTTACTCCATCCCCCGTTCAGATATTCAGACTTTGGCAGGTGTTTTTGGAAAGGGTCAACCCAATCACCAAACTCATTCACGTACCCAGTCTGCAACCCTTGGTCGTGGAAGCGGCCGCGAACCACTCCAATGTCGCGAACAATGCCCAGGCTCTGCTATTTGCCATCTACCTCGTCGCATCTCTTACCATGACTGAGTCAGAAGCCAGACAGATGCTGGATATGTCAAAAGAGGAGGCGCTCAAGAAGTTCACTGCTGGCGTCAAGGCGGCATTGACCAAGGTCAATTTCCTTAAGAACCATGATTTGATGACGCTGCAAGCTTTGATACTCTACCTGGTCCGTCGCGATCTTTTCCGCCATAATAGTCAATTCGTCTTACTAACAGCAAACAGGTATCTCTTCAGGGGCGATATAACCGTCATGCGGCCTGGGTGCTCAGTGGTGTGTTGATTCGTATTGCGCAAAAGATGGGACTTCACAGGGACGGAGAGCTGCTCAACCTCACTCCATACGAGACCGAAATGCGACGACGACTTTGGTGGCAGATCATTATGTTGGACACGAAATATGCCATGGTATCGGGATTCTGCGACACGCTGCTGCCATGGAACTGGGACACGAATACGCCGCAGAACGTAAACGATGCCGATCTCTTCCCCGGATCGACCGAGCCCGTTCAACCTCGTGAAGGCCCGACAGAGATGGCCTTCTGCCTGCTCTTGTACGAAGTTGGTCGATTCATCGTCGAAAACCGCATCCCCGATTTCGAGGCCGTCGTTCTCGGCGCCATGGAAAATGACAGCCAGGATTCTCAAATAGCGACCCAGACTTCGCTTGCCAAGTACCGGGCACTGGTTGACAACCTCGATGCGAAGCTCGTAGCCCTCGAAAAGCGATACTGTGATCCCCTGGCTGGCAACATCCACATCGTAGCGACCAAGATCCGATCCATGGTTACTGACAAGATGCGGGCGATGATGATCCCCATGCGCGAACTGCCTGAATTCGGCACCGAGATCTTCAACGTTCAGGACAACATGTTCCGGATATCACTCATGCACCACGAGCACAACGTCGAGCTGTACGACTTTATGGAGAACACCGGCTTTGTGTGGTTCTTCAAGCTCCACTTCCAAATCGACGTCTTCATCGTCATGGCTGGACAACTATACAAGAGACCGACAGGCAAATTGGCTGACCGCGCGTGGAAGGTGGTTGACAGGATATATCAGTACCACGAGGAGCTATGGGACATGTCCAAGAAGGAGAATACCCAGCTGGGTGTGTACATGCTCAAGGCCTGGAGGGCACGCGAGCGCGCGCTGGTCCAACTTGGCCTGCCCTACGATACACCGGTTGCCATCCCACGACTGCAGGATACCGTGCCGCAGACGAGCTCAGAAGCGTCGTCTTGCGGGCCTTCGCCGGCACAGACGATGAAGATGGAGATCCCTCCGCGGAACGATCAACCCATGGACCAATTCCTCGGCAATTTCCTCGACACTACAAACTTTTACGATTTGGACATGTGGGCGGATTTGGGTGTCCCCAACGGTAACATGAACCAGCAGTCTTCGTCAAACATGTTTGGACAATTTGGGAATTTTGGCGTGCCACCAACGAATAGAGGATGGTGAACATGTGGCAGGCATCATTTGGGATTTCTCACGTCGTGCTAGCTCCGGTGCCTGGGTAGAAAATGGGAAAGAAAGGGAGTGAGTTGGGACCCGGGGCATCTGCAAATCAATCTCTCGTTGAAGTAGAAAGGAGACCAGGGGTCATTCACTCGGAGGGCATTCTTTGGATTTGGATTTGTCTTTTGGTGTTTAGGATTTTACAAAGAGACAACTCTCCCACCTCTGTAACGATAGTACCATGAGATGACGAAGCTACCTAATGGTAAATAGACGGGAGTCTATGGAAAGACCAAGCGTACACCCCCTTCCCCTGGCAGAAGCCGTTTTGACATGATGATTTACTATGAGCCCCCTGTCGAGCTGAATGGAGCTTGTCACCTTTGGGACCTTGTGGCTCCCTCCTCACCGGAAAAGGGGCAAGATTGGCAGTGGTGGTCTTGTCTTCATTGGCGAAGTTGCGGAGACTTCTTCCGAGATGACACAGTTTCCAGTGTTGACGGGTCTATCCGTACATCATACAACGTCACTTGAGTCTTGTTGGTGCCTGTCTGCCTTGCCTGTCTGCCACTCAGGATACGAGACTTGCATATGCATTCGCCTATGGGCTGACGACGCGGGCAGGCAGATGGAACGACTTGTCAGTCTATTGACTCCCTGGTCGCAACCCCCCGGCGAATGATCCTCCAAGTCCCCCCGGCCCAGTTGCGATTTGCGAGACGATTCTACTATAGGCCAGGGTGTACATGATCACCGTTCATGGGAAGACAGAGGCATTGATCCGTAAACTGCCACTGGACATACTGATTCTGCCGTATGCCCGTCTTACCTAACCAACACTTTCCTTCCAAGAAACAAAACTGCAATGTTGCCCGGGGAAAAGGGAATTACCCGCAAATGGACATCAATTCATGACGGCCACGTCCGTATGACCTCAACGATGTGCTTCTGGTTCCCGAGTTTACACGAATCTTTGGTGAACCAACTGCCTTATTCAAACGTAAACCCCCGAGGCGGAGGACTCCGATTCGTTCGGGCCCGGGAAAGGAGCCCGTGCGAGAAGAAGCATAAGAGTCATAATTTGTCTTTTTCTAGGTGGGTAACATCGGGGAAGTCAATAGAAACATCCCAAAAAAATCAAGGAACGGGAGACGGACAGGACAAGTGCGGACTCAGGGCTGAGGGCTGTGTATTTTGGGCCGCAGACGGAGCGGAGCGGAATACTCACCCCGACTCCCCTCATTCCGTCTGGTAGAAACGTGTGTGTGAAGAGCACCAAACGACCGGAGGCTCGGGCACATCGGGGAACGATGGACCCGTGAGCCGACCCTTGTCTTCGGGACCGAGGTTGGGTTGGGACTTTACCCATTTTGGTGTAGAAATCCCCGAGGTTTTTATTGTGGCTTGGGGGTTCTTTGAATGGTTTAGTTTTGAACCGGATTCAATGCCCGTCCGCCTGCGTGGTTCTATTTGTTCTGATGAGCCACACAAGAGTCACAATACCAAGTTCCGGGCTAACGACTCTCACCTGGAGCTTACCAAAGCCCGCTCGGCCCCGTCTGGCCTGATGAGCCGGTATGGAGTGATGAGTTGACGACTCCCTTTTCATGCGTGTCACTCCTTTTCGCACTCTTCTATTTTCTTCGTTTCCAATTGCAGCTGCGCGTGGCGTTTAACTAATTGGACAGTCTGCTGGTTTTAAGCGTTACGGTGAGGCTTGACTTACTGCGCCAGTGAAGACTGAGGTATGTGAATCGGCATTGAAAATGCCGATTGCTTACCCACGTATACGCTTGGCTTACATCCGTCTACAAGCGGGTATGGTTTCCCTCACGATTGAGAAATACTGAGATCCGAGAATCGCCCGGCATTTCTCTTGTTGGATGGACTTTGGTGAACTTGTGGATAAGTCATTGTGGGTACGTAAGCATGAGCCGCGAAGAAGGCCATCATAATCAGGCACATTCCAGGAAACATTTCGGAATGAAGCCTGGCTCAGAGTCAGACCGACCTAGACTCATTCAAGTTCTTTGGGTCTTTGGGGTCTAGGTCGCGTGGCTAGACACGAGCGGGCGGGCGGGAGCCAAGATTGGAGGCTCTTTTAGGGTGGTTCTTTGGTCTGGTGCTTTGCTGTCATTGGCGGGAGTAAGGAGGTAAGAAAGAAAGGAGAATAGAAATCCCCGAACGGGTGTTGGATGTGAGTCGTCCTCGTCATGCGGACATGCGTTAGGTCGTCTCTTCGTCGAGACCGGACGTTTCTTACGTCCTTTTTCGGGGGGTAATTCGTTTTGTTTGTTTCGAATAGGCTTGTTTTGTCTTGTTTAGGGGAAATGCGATATATGTACTTGGGATGACTCTTTTCTCTTCGAACGTGTTGCTTGCCTACTTATCTCTCCATCGTCGCCGACTTCCTTACGCATCCCTCGACTACCCCTCTGGTTCATGTCAAGAAGGTTTTCGAGATCTACAGAGTTCTGAATGAGAGACATTGAGTTGAACTTGTATCAAGAGTGTCGACTACGAGCCGAGACCGTCAACTTTGGGAGACAAAAAGAGAAGATCGAAAGCTTATAGGCTTTGGGTTTCCTGGGCTGGACGACTACGAACGAACAACAGATCGAACCTATTGCCATGTTCTTCAAAAAGCGCGACAAGGGCGCAGTTCCCGCCACGACGCCAACGAGCGAACCGCCGACCTCATCACGGACGAGTAAAATCCACGATGAAGAAGAACAGCAACCCGCCGAGCATGCTCTCACGCACACCTCGACGACGCGATCGATTCAGTACCCAAAGGGCGTGAAGCTCTTCCTAATCATGTTGTCCATCTTGGTGTCCATGTTCCTCGTTGCATTGGTATGACCTCCCTCAGCATCCTCTTTATCCCCTTTCCCACGAGACTAACACCACTAATAGGATCGCCTCATCATCGCCACAGCAATCCCTCAAATCACAGACGACTTTCACTCCGTCACCGACATAGGTTGGTACGGAAGCGCTTATCTCCTGACAACCTGCGCCTTCCAGCTCCTCTTCGGCAAGCTCTACGCCTTCTTTCCCATCAAGCGCGTCTTTCTCTGCTCTGTCGTCCTCTTCGAGGTCGGCTCCGCCGTCTGCGGCGCGGCTCCCGATAGCGCCGCCTTCATCGTCGGCCGCGCCATCGCAGGCATCGGCGGCGCGGGTATCTTTGCGGGCACCATCGTCGTCATGGTCCATTCCGTCCCGCTGCACCGCCGCCCCAAGTATCAGGGCGCCTTCGGGGCCGTGTTTGGTATTGCGTCCGTCATCGGGCCACTACTTGGCGGCGCGTTCACAACAAAGGTTAGCTGGCGGTGGTGCTTTTATATCAACCTGCCACTGGGGGGCGTCGCGCTGGTGGTGATTGCGTTTGTGATGAGGCCGCCGGAGCAGAATCTTACCGAGTCTTCGTTGTGGGATAAGTTGAAGCAGTTGGACTTTGCGGGAACGTCGGTGTTTATTCCTGGCGTTGTTTGCTTGCTTCTTGCGTTGCAGTGGGGTGGTGTTGAGTATGCTGTGAGTACCACGATTTTCCCTTCTTCTCACTCCTATCTTACCCCTTGTTTCCCATTTATCTACAAGTAGAAATATTGACTGATAAATCGCAGTGGAGCAACGGGCGAATCATTGCCCTCCTGGTCCTCGCCGTCGTCCTCCTCCTATCCTTCATCGCCATCCAGATCCTCCTCCCCAATACTGCGACCGTCCCACCTCGCATTATCCGTCAACGCTCCATCGCCTTCGCCGCCTGGGCTGCCTTCTCCCTCGGCGGACAGATGATGTTGATGGCGTACTACCTCCCCATCTGGCTCCAGGCCATCAAGGGCTTTACAGCCGTCGAGTCCGGCGTCCGCACCCTCCCCATGGTTCTCTCCATGACCGTCTTCGCAGCCGTATCAGGAGGCGTCATCACTAAGATTGGGTACTACACCCCCGTGATGCTCGTCGGTATCTGCATCATGTCTGTCGGCGCGGGCTTGATGACGACGCTTGAGGTGGATACGAGCACGGCAAAGTGGGCGGCGTACCAGGTCATCTACGGTATTGGGCAGGGCATGACGTTCCAGGCGCCGAATCTTGCTGCACAGACGGTGCTCAAGCTGAAAGACGTGCCTGTGGGCGCGAGTATCATGTTCTTCTCGCAGACGCTCGGTGGCGCCGTGTTTATCTCGGTTGGGCAGACAGTGCTGAACAACGAGCTTGTGAAGAGGATCAAAGGGCTGCCTGGGCTCGAGGGAATCAACTTGCAAACTACCGGCGCGACATCGCTGACAGATCTGCCGGACAATGTGAAAGGACCTGTGTTGGAGGCTTACAACGGAGCGCTGAAGGTTGTGTTCGTGGTTGCGCTGGTCATGGTTTGCTCCGTGTTCATCGGAGCTGGTGGTATGGAGTGGAAGAGCGTGAAGAAGGAGCAGCAGGCGAAGCAGAAGGCCAAGGAGGATGCCGAGGCGGCTGAGGCTGCGGCTGCTGTTGGCGGGGTTTCTGGGGTTGTGGCGGCTACCGTTGCTGCTGAGGCACAGAGGGAGAAGGAGAAGCAACTTGATGAGGGCAGCGAACGGGATTTCGAGGATATCGAGAAATCAAGGGGGCGGAGTCTGAGCCGTGGCGATGATGGTGCGGCCTTGAGGCAAGAGGATGAGGTCACGACAGCTGGATTCGACACCGAGGGAACGAAACACATTTAGATGAATGGACGGACGGGATATTACATGGGTAATTTAGGCACGGGAAGAACTCTTTGTATGATAGCATGATACCCCTCTCGATGTAAGGAAATTTAATGTAATGTAAATTCCATCTAAAATCAAGAAATAGTTGAGGAGGCAAATCTAATAAAGCCAATTATTCAGAACAAATAATAGGGGCAATGCGCACGTTCGACGGGCTCCTCCTCAACCACCAGCTTGTTCTGCTGTCTACTATGTATTCCCACCTCAAGGAACCAACTTTCTTTTGCCGGAAAAAGAGGAGGAATACATAAATCTAGGGAAATATGAGATTGCCTTAAACATTGCATGTCGCTTTCGCCACAGCAGCTAGCCTTTAAGGAGGGCTAGCGGTCACAAACGAGATTTTGTTGCCGTTTGTTGGGATACCTTAGACGGAAACGCCTCATTGCTGATTGATCACATATTCTCATAGCTACTTATACGTCCAAGAGCATAGGAATTACTTAGCTTGCAAAAAGCCGCTTTCAAAACCCCGAGGTGCTGTGGTGGATTTTTCAAGGCAAACACCGGTATCACCACCAAGCAAATGACGGCCGAGAATCTACCATCACAAGTGAGAGAGAAGGTCTTTGGGATTCTAGGCAGACTAAGACACTACGTAGGCAAACAAGTTGCCATAATGCGGACAAACACTTCTTGCCTCTAGCATTGGGAATCACTTCTGCCTGCAACAAACCAATCGCCCTTTCCGCCATTTGTCTCATGACTGCCCCAAGGAAGCCTTTTCCTCTCAGATCACGAAGCTGGAGAAGGCTCCAACCTTATACAAAAGCCGAACTGGAGCCGCTTGGTCTTGCTCTGTTGAACGAATCTCATTCCGGCCAAGGATAGCCACTTCATCTCAGATCAGCTGAACAACTCATTCTTCATCCGCTATCAAGATGCCTGCCGCCAATTCCAATACTACCTCTCCCGTGAAGAAGCCTACCATCGTCGGCCTATACGGCCTTCCTGGTAGTGGCAAGTCTTACGTCTTATGCCGTCTCAAGACATACTTCGGTTTTGGAGATCGATTCCAGTACTATGAGGGGTCCGAGGTCATTGGGAACCTCGTCGACGGCGGCCTGGAAGCATTCAAGCGACTTCACAACGACGCGAAAACCCGAAAACGACAGCAAGCCATTCAATGTGTTGCCGATGAATGTACCGCGACTGGGCGTATTGGAATTGTCACCGGCCATTACTCATTCTGGAACGACAAACCTCCCTCCCATGACGTTGTGTGGACCGACGCTGACCTGCGCGTCTACACCCACATCCTCTACCTGGACATGCCCGCTATCAGTCTATGGGATCAACGAACTTACGATGAACTTCGAACGCGCCCTGAACTACAACCTCATCACCTCGCACAATGGAAGAATTCCGAAATCGCCGCTCTATCCCGTCTTTCTCGTCTGAATGACATGCATTTCATGCCGCTGTATCTCGGCGGGCCTCATTCTTCTGACGGCATTGAACACATGCTGCGCAATATTGAGACAACAGACGAAGAGAACCTTCGTCGTGTAAGAAGCGAGACTGATCGATTGCTTTTTTCGGGCCCAGGCCGCGATCGGTTGGATACGGTGTTGGTGTTGGACGCGGATCGAACGCTGTGCGCAGCGGACACGGGCTCGATGTTCTGGGAGAGGCTCAAGGCAACTTCGCGGAGGCGATACCCTGACTGTGTATGGGATGGTCCGGAGAACTTTGGAAAGCATTGGCTCTGGGACGACCTCATATGTCCCCTGAAGAGGCTATTCAGCGAAAACAACGACTACTCCTTGGCTTTCTTTCACCGGGCCATGGCTTTGTATGAGTACGTCGAAAGCGCCTTTGACGAAGTATGCGAGGAAGTCGCCGCTGCTGTCTCGCTGTACCCGGAGTTCATGGCCCTGATTCACGCCGTCAAGTGCCATCGCGGCGTTGGCATCGTCATCGCCACGTGTGGCCTTCGTCGAATCTGGAAACTGATATTGGAGAGAGAGGGCCTCGATGATGACGTTAAGATCATCGGTGGGGGCCGCTTTTCCGATGATTACGTTGTTACTCCTGAGGCCAAGGCCGTCGTTGTCTCTCATCTGCAAAGTAAAGGTGTGTTTGTCTGGGCTTTCGGAGACAGTCCGATGGACTTGCCCATGCTCAAGAGAGCCGACCAAGCTATCGTCGTCGTCGGCGAGGAGCGTTCTAGAAGCAAGACTATGGACGCTGAGTTGACCAGGGTTATTACTGGCGACAAGAACTTCCGTCCAAGACAGGCTTTGGTCCCGATTCATTCTTCACCCCGCCTTGATCCAGAGCATTTACCGATTATCG